TCGGGCCCTGCGCCGTCTGCCGGGGCCCCGTCGCCGCCAGGAGCGCGCCGCGGATGGCGCGCCGCGCCCTCTCGACCCGCGCGCGCAGCACGGGCGCCGAGGCGTCCAGAAGCTGGGGCTGCTACTTGGCGGCCGGGCCCCGTCGCCCCGGGGGCGATGGCCGCGGCGCGGCAGCGGCCTCCAACCTGCCCCCCCGCGGCCGCCCCGGCCTGCTGCCGCCGCTGCGTGACGCGCGCGGGCGCGAGCCCCCGCGACTGGTGACCGCGGGCCGCCCGGTGTTCCATGGCCCGCTGGCCTCCAGGGCCAGCGCCGAGCGCCCCCTCATCTGCTTGATGTGGCCCGCGGGCCTGCCTGCGGTCAACGGCCGCTGCGTCCGTCTGCTTCCTGCGGCGTCGCCGCGTGCGCGCCGCCGCGTCGCCGCCCCCGTCGGTCGCGCCCAGCGCCGATAGCAGCGGGGGGGTCGGTGCGACGAGCGCCGCGCGCAGCCCCGGGCCCAGCTTCGAGTCTGACGCCAGCGGCGTTGCGTTGCTGGGCATGGCCAGCCCTCGCTCCTCCATGAGGCCCGCTGCGAACTGGATCGCCGCGTTCCTCGTGCCCGTCTTGGCGGCTTGGCGTCGCGCGTCGCGCTGGCGCGTCGCCCGCGAGGGTCTGCGGCGGGGCCGGCCGGCGCGACCGCGTCCACCGCCCCGCGGGCGCAGACCGCGGCCAAAAAGGCGCATCTCGCTGAACCCGCCGCCGCCGGCCGCCGGGTTGAAAACGCGGGGGCGAAGAAGGGCCCCGCCCCCGGCGCCGCCGCGGTAACGGGGCGCTTCATCTGCGCAGAAAGCCCCACGGGCTGGGCCGGACCGATCGCGTCGCAAAAGGTCCGGAGATCATGGGGGAGTGTCGAGGAGGGCCAGCAACATCTCCCCCCCCCGCCTCGTCCAGGAGGGCGCGATAGAGAGCGGACTGGCGCGCTCGCTATGGGGCTGCACGGGCAGCGCCGCGCCCGCGAGGAGCGCGCGCAGGATCCCCCGCTGCGAAGAAGGTCTGCGGAGGCAGCGGGGGCGGTTCAAGCGCGGGCGCTGGGCGGGCGCCCCGCGCGCGCGGCTGCGCGCAGACCGGGGCGAGACCAAGACGCGCGACACATGCAAGAGCCGGGGCTGGATAAGCGAGCGCCGGGGCGGCGCGGTCTGGAGCTGGTGCCCGTGGTGGGGCCCGGCGCCAGCTGAGGTCGATTCCAAATGAGGCGTGGCCATGTTGCCCGAGGTATTGCAGGCGGGAGTGCCGCGCTCGTCACGGAAATCGAGGCGCCCGCGCGCAAGGGTGAGCCCCCGCCGCCGCCGAGACAGCCCGGCGCCTGGCAGGGCGCCCAAAGCGAAAGGCAAGCAGCTGAAAACCCTGGACTGGCTGCTGGAGTGCGAGGGCGCGGTGGGCCGCCTGTCAATCTCCTGCAGACGGCAACCGGGATGTGCGACGCGGCCTTGGAAGGCGCGCGCGAGGCGGACCTGGCCAGCGCCAAGGCCTCGGAGCACTATTGCGGGGAGGTGGGGAAGGGCGACGCGGGCAAGCTGGGGCCGCCTGCCGACGTGGAGTTCGCAGACAAATTCATCCTAGATTGCGAAGGCTTTGCGGCAGGCGCCGCCGACCCTGAAGGAGACAACGACGACGGCGGCGAGGGCGGCGACGGCGGCGGCGGCGGCGACGACGACGCTGACGTGGGTCGGAGATCCTCGGGGGTGCTGTTCGGGGTCTCCTCGGAGCGCTCTCGGTTGTGGGGGGCAATTTTGCGGGTGCCTCTCGGGGCTTCCTGGGGGCCTCTTGGGGCCCTCTCGGGACCGAGGGCTCGAGATGTCCGTTCGGTGCCCCCGTCGCGGCACCCTGATGGGGACTTTTGGGGCGCTGGAAGCCCCCCGGGGATCGATCTCGCGGGGTGCTCCCGGGACCCCCTCGGGCTTCCGGGGCCGCGCGGCGGGGGGGGGGAGGGCGGGCGCATATGGGGGGGGCGCCCCATACCCCCCCCCCCCCGGGGCCCGCCCCCCTCCCCGCGGGGCGATGGTCGAGGCGGAGCGCGCCTCCAATGAGGGAAGGGCAAAGGCGCGCAGAATGCAGCTGGGGCTGCTGCACCTGCCGCTGGGGCTGGCGCTGCCTGCGCCGCCGGAAACGAGGCGGAGGCCGCCGCGGCCAGACGGGGAATTGTTGCGGCTCGGGCGTGACAGGCCACGGGCGCCTGCCGAGCGGCCGACGCGCTCGGCGAGCGCCCAGTCTTTTCCGCCAGCGTGGAGAAGTGAGGGCCGCGAGCCCACGAGCACCTCGACGAGCGTCGCGGAAAGAACCCGCGGGTCAGTCTACGCGACCAGCGTCGCGAACGCAATGGAGGCCAAGTTTCGAGCTGACTTGGGCCGCCCGCGAGGGGCCTCATTCTGACTGCAAGCGCCTCTGACTTGGGCCGCCCAAGTCTACGAGGCCGAGGCGCCAGGCAGACCCCCGCAGCACAGCGAGCGTGATCAAGATGAACCGGCCCCAGGAAAAGGCAGGCGCGGCTATTGTTGGAGGGCCGGGGGGCCACCGCGCAGCTGCGCGCGAAGAAGGGCGACGGCCCCGCGCAGACAGCCCCCGCCCGCGCCCCACTGGAGCGCCAGGGGCGCTCAGCTACAGAGCGGGGGGATGGTGGCAGCGCCAGATATCGAGGCCCAGTCGTGAAGTTGTCGAGCCACTTCGTCTATAATAGCCGCGAGCAACGTACAGGGGCGGCATAGATCCAACTGGCGCGCTGTTCGGGCGAGCGTGGCGGGCGCGCTACCCCGGCGGCGCGCGTGTCGCCAGCTGCTGAGCGCCAAAGCCCTTTGGGCGCAGTCGCGGCTTCGACGCCGCGCGGGCGAAGGCAAGGGCCGCGCCGGGCAAACCCCACATGAGTTGTCACAAAGCAAGCGTCACGCGCCATGCGCCGACCCTGCTGCAGAGGTACCAAACCCGGCGCAATGAGCTGCAGCGCGGCTGAGCATCGGTCAAGCACCGGCGCGATGCCATGGAGGTGCCGGAGCAGGGCGAGGCCAGCCACTTCGGCAGCGCGAGGCTCATACTTAAACAGAAGATGGCGGTCGAGATGGAGACCTCAACGCGCCGCGCCGCCAAGGTCTCTGCGACGCGGTTGAGGCCGCGGCTGCTGCTGGACGGGCCCGCGCCACAGGGGGGCCCGGACGCGCCCGCGCCAAGTGGGCCAAGGATGCCTGGCGCGACAAGGCAAGCATCCCACGCGATCGCGCAATGGACGGGGAGGCCATAGTCGACGAGATCTGCGCACAGTTTGAAACTGTGGCGAAACCAGCATGCCTCATGAGTTGCAGGACCACCAAATAGAGCGGGCTTGCGGCAGGGCCCGCGAGCTGATGAGAGTGACAGCCAGTGGCAAGTGGCTAGGGCCCTGGATGCCTGGAAATCGCGCAGGAGGAGGACTACCCCCCGCTCGAAGAGGCGGCATTCGACCGCGCGCTGGCCTCCATCAACGGGCGCCGCGGCCCGAAGCGCCAGACCCCATTGACGCGAAGGGCTTGCCGCGGGCGGGCCGCGAAAATCTCGTGGCCCTGGCGAAAGCCGCGGAAGTGCTCGGGGTCCGGGCCCGCCAGAGCACGGCCGCTGTCGCGGCCTGGGCGCCGACGCCAACCGTCGGGGACAGGGGCTTGGGCGCGCCCCCCGCGCCGCCCAAGACGAGAGGCAAGGCCGGAGGAGCCAGCGCGGACGCGCGCGTGGAGGAAATGGTGGCCCTTTGGGGTGGCGCCATGAACGGCTGCACCGCTCGCATGGGCGGCCTGTCCGAACTGCTCCAGGAGCTCACGGGAAACGAAGAGGGGGGGGCAGACGGATGAGGCCGGCGATCGGAGGGATGAGATCACAGAGAAGTAAGAAGCGAAGGGAGGAGAAGCCGAAAATGGGCAAACGCATCCCGCCTTGATTTTTTTTCGCAGCGAGGGGATGCCTGGAGATCTTCGGCGATAGCGGGTGCCCAGAGGTGAGATCTCGACGACGATGTTGAGCCGACGGCATCGGCCTCGAGAGGATCTTATGCTGCATCTTCGAGGGGCCTCACCAGTTCCATTGCGCCGTTGTTCGCGTCAGATCCGAACCGAAACCACATCGGACATCGAATCCGCGTCTAACCCACGCCGAATTCGCGTCGCAAGAAATAGAAATCAATGCTTTAAACAGACGTGCCCCCCCGAATATGCAGCGTAAAAGGTCAGAGGGGGGGACACAGGCTTGGGCTTGGGGAGGCGCGGGGAGGAGACTCCGAGGCAGTCAAACTGCATTCCCAAACCGGGGAGGAGGGAAAAGTAGGGAGGGAGCGGGGGGAAAAAGGGACAGGAGGAGGAGGAGGAGGGGGAGGAGGAGGAGGAGGAGGAGGAGGAGGAGGACGAGGAGGAGGAGGAGGAGGAGGAGGAGGAGGAGGAGGAGGAGGAGGAGGAAGGGGAGGGGAGGCTAACACTTGGCCGACCCGACCCTAACCCAAAACCTCGTGGCGCTGAGCCACCAATGTTCTCTCCACTGCGGCTGGGGAAGAACGAGCATGCCGCACCGACGGCAGAGCGCTGCCGACGCTGAAACAAAAGAGGGCCATGCACGCCCTGATGCGAGCGTGCACCTTCCCCCCGAGGCGGGGTGCCCCTGACACGCGTGCAGCGCGCGCACACACCCACGCACCCACGCACCCAAGCACCCACACACAAAGACAGACAGACAGACAGACAGACAGACCGACAGACAGACAGACAGACAGACAGACAGACAGACAGAGAGAGAGACAGACAGACAGACAGACAGACAGACAGACAGACAGACAGACAGACAGACAGACAGACAGACAGACAGACAGACAGACAGACAGACAGACAGACAGACACAGACACAGACAGACAGACACTCACACTCACACACGATACACGCACTCACTCACACACACACACACACACACGCACACACACACACACGCACTTGCACAAGATAGACACGAGGCGGCGCCAGGACGACGAGGCACCGCCGACCCCTGGTGTAGAGAACGCCAGGCCTAACAATCTCCACTATTGGCAGCCTGTGCTGCAGCTACACCATCTCGGTAGAATTGCTCGAGCGGGACGGATTGCTTGAACACCTGGGTTCGGCTTCTCTTCGGGTGTCTGAGCTCCAGCGTACGGGAAAGCTGTATTCTAGCATTGTTCGTCCTCGAAGATGTTGGACACTCTTGGAACAAGCGGCCCCTGGAGCCCGCTTCCGAATAGGACCCGCAGAAACGACATACAATCATCGTGCTCGAATTGAGCTCGTGCTCGACAATCCGAAGTTGGTGTTCTTTTGGGCTTTGAGCTAGCGAGGCCAAGCCCGCGCGATACCCTGGGCACTTTTCAGACAGGCGTCTAAAGTACTGTTGCTGAGACTTGGCTCTCACGCGGCACAAGGTGCATATATGGAATCCGTCAATAGATTCCCATCTATGGAGCTCGGGCTCGGGGTCTGGGTCACCAGGAGGGGCGGGAGGAGGCCTCGAGGGGAGCGGGGTGGTCCCAGTGTCCCATGCATGCTCGGCTGATGCGGCTCCAGTGTGAGGGTTCTTGCTGGCTGGTTTGCTCAACGATTTCTTTCCGCTTCTAGTGGCCAGTGCTGACCACAGGGAGAGCACGCGAGCAGCGTAAAACAACCAACGACAGAACAAGCGTTCGTCTTGTTTGAAACTCTCGAGCTCAGCTTC